TAGAATTAACCGACTAGTTATAATGTAGTTGTGTTAGAATTAATTAATAGTAAATGCTATAATGTTAAGCTTAATTAATAAATTTACAGTAAAAATGAGTTCATGGTTCATTGCGTTCAAACTTGCTAAAAATTTATTAATTTATTTATCATTATCGATGAATTAATTAATCAAATTCAGTAATAATTTTATAATGTATTTTAATTAGAATATTACAGTGATATATAAATAATTAATAAATAGTTGCAATTACAGATTTGTAATTAATCTCTTAGCCGTATGCCCTACCTGCCCTGTCCAACGCTTACTTGGTGTTTTGTTGCCCCCATCTCTCAGTTTGGATTACAAATTTAGCCCTCCAGCAAATTCTACGCTCCATCGACACGTATTTTCCAATAAATAGTTGGGCCCCACTTTAAGATTTTGGATAAGTTTAAAAAACAGTTCGCTCTTAGCTGCGATTCGAGCCTTACCTATATTTACCGGCGTAAATTATCCTTAGGTTGAAATATTGTCAAATAGCGTCTCTTTCCAAAAGATAATTTTATTTTTATTTTCACGCATGTTTAAAAAATTACGATTAAAGAATAATTTATTTATATAATTTTATTATATTATTTTAAATAATAGATTTGAATATTGAAATATTTAATAAAAAAATTTAATGGATATTGAAAATAAAAGTAAAAATTAATAAAAAAATATAGTATATAATTTCAATAATTATCTATAATGTAAAAAGGAAAGTGAATCGTATTTTGGAAACAAATCCAAAAAATAAAAAATTTGAACTATTTCTTGTTGGGGCTGAGGAAGTAGTACGCAAGTGGATCCATGTTATAATAAAGAAAGAGGAGGGTATTATTAAAATTTATTTAATAAAATTTTCCCAAAATTTTATGCCACGTGTTAATAAAAAATATTATACTTACTAATGTTCTTATAAATTTATCACATTTTGAATTTTCAGCATATCCTTAAGAAAACCAATTAAATTTTTTAAGGTACAATAAAATTATTGAAGTAAATTGATAATTACCCTTAATTTAATATTAATTCCCTTAAGAAACCCATTAAATTGAAGTAATAATTATTTAGGCTTATACAAAGAATAAACTATGAAAACAATTAAAATTTACTTACTCATTAAAACTACAAAGGTAAACATTTTGAAACAAAATTTATTTTGCTTAAACATGTGACAAGTATGTATGGAACATGAAGAATTCTTAAACTATGTACTAAATCTGTTTATTACAATAATTAAAAGATTTCAATTTTATTTCAATTAGAATGTTTTAATTAATATAAAAAATATTCTAAATTTAAATAATAAGGAACTACAACAAGCAACGTGAGCACAGTGGACAACGTGCAAAGCACGTTAATACTAATCTATATCTATATCTTTTCTAATCTATCTATCTATATCTATATACTATACTATATATTAAACATGGAAATAGCGGTGTAGATTTCTGTTACGTCTTTAATAAAATTTGGAATATCTAAAATAGCCGCTTAGTTAATTCGAAAATTATATTTTAATACTATGAGTGTTTTGGAATGACGTGATTCGACGATTCTTCTCTCTTGAATGAGAGCGCGAGGGTTTGATCCTCCGTGATGAAGCATATACTCAGTTGAAGTATTTTATTCCCGTTTTTTTTGAATCCACCTAGAGAAGCAAAAAATTACATTTATTATATTTGATTATATATAATTTTCTAAAAGGTATGTTCTTTTTATGTATTGTTATTAGGAAAGATTGAGAGTTTAATTGGCAAAGATAGGACGTTTTAGTAATCTTTTTTTTATTAAATTAATTAACTTATTTATTTATTTATTTTAAATTCGCAAAACTTTTTGGAAAATTGAGAGACAAAAATATAGATCTTAAACATTATTGTTTTGTAATTTTTCCGTTTGTTGACTTGGCTATTATATTTTTTTTCAATCAACATTCAAAATGTACAATAAATTACAATATTTTTTAGTTAAAGAATGGTTTGGATTTTTAAATCTTAAATTTGGTTACTTCTTAATTATAATTTATTTCTTGTTATATGTTGAGTTTCGAAAAGAGTTCTTATTTTTTAATAATACCAAATTTTTATTCTTTATTTTTCTTTTTTGTTAATGAATTAATTTGCTAACTTACTATCTTAATAAGAAATTGTAATCTCCCTTGTAAAAAAAAATAGCATTTTTTCATAATTAAATATTTTTTAATTTTTTTTAAATATTTTTCTATTATATTTCTAAATCCTGTTTTATTTGAAAGAAAATAGTGTTAATTTATAAAGCTCAAAGAAAAATATTTTTCTATTATATTCTAAATCTGTTTTATTTGAAAGAAAATAGTATTTATAAAGCTCAAAGAAAACTAGAATTATATATTTTTATTTTGGATCACTTTTGAAATTTAAAAAATTTGTGTGTACGTATATATATTTCTTTCTTCCTTTCGCTTATGCACCGAGTAAGTAATATTATCAATATAGCCAATAGCAAAGTAATTATCATTATTAATTCAGATCATCTGTTCATTTTTTTTTTCTTTACCAACAGTAAAAATGCTCATTTTTTTTCACCCAACAATAAAAAATAATTTATTATTATTTTTCATTATAATTGTATATATTGATTTGGGGTTGGAAGTAAGAGTTTGAAAATTGAGTGATGACTTATTTTCTTTTAGGGCACTGAATCTGCATTTTTAAATTAAGGACTGAAGGCTTAAATCTAGGGATTAGATTGAATTTTATTTTGAAACCACTTCATTATATAAAAAAAAATAGAATGAAATAGATAAGAAGTAACATTCCAATTAGCTTGTATGAGAAACATACAAATTGAGCAATTGTATTTATTTTAATCTAAACAAAAACTTAATGCTTTAATATTATATAGATAAAAATTAAAAAACTACAAATATATAACGAGTACAGCCAACGTGCAAGTCACGTCATGAAAAAGACAAGTAAAAATAAATAAAAAAGACCAGTAGAAATAAAAGTATAAATTCAAAATACACTCTCCAGGTTAATTTGTTGGCTATATCGAAAATTACATTTAAAATAAATATCATTTCAATGTTCGGTTTAGTTACTCAAATATAAAAATACCAAAGATAAAAGGTACTATTTCCTTATTAACCAAATCTGAAAATGAAATTTAAATGAAGGAATCGCAGCTCATTCCAACCAAATATGGCTTCGTTCCTTCTTCCGAGTAGACATTTAACCTTACCCAGAAAGGCCGTGCCAGCCACAAAGATGCATAACCTGTTACTCCCTTAAAAATCCACCACTTCTACTATAACCACACTGTACTTAAAAAACAGAAGAAGCTCACTCACATAAACAAACTCTCCAACAAAAATACCAAGAAACACCAATAATTATTGATATATGTACATACCAATAAAATAGGCATTCAACAAATTAAAAATTCTCAAGCTCCACATGCAAAAACATCCCAAATTGTAAGAATCAACAAGGCAAACATACCCATAGTAACATGTCATTTCTCTGCTATACATGCCAAATATGAAAGTAAAGGTGAGGTCCATTCAAATAGTTTGTCACTTTAACTAGTTGAGTATTTGAATTTCAAGTCATGTTGATTTTTCATAATCTACCCATAGAAACAAAAATCTAAATCAAATTTAGCAGTCTCATTCCATTCTTCAATCTTTCTCAAATAGCAAGACATTTTCATTGCAAAAATCCAGACTAGACAGAATGCTGTAACTATCCCAAGAAACCTTAATACAATTCAAGTTACAACAGTATAATATTTCATGATTTTTATTTTCATATTTTTGTTTCCTCTATAATTAAATTTAGAAGGGTAATAACTATCCACTGCTTAACAAAAAGCACAAACATTTGCCCATAATTCAATTTCCTGAATGATAAAGAATCACCATAGTTCTCTTCAGTTTCGATAATTCAATTTTAAAAACTCAATTCAATTTGACATAATTCACATAATTATTCTCTTTCCCCACAACTTCTCCAATACTAATAGATTCATATACAAGCGCAGTCTCTATACTACCTAACTCCATCCATCCACAGATAGATATTCCAATACTATACCAAGCTCAACAATTGGAAGAACAACTGCAAGTTTCAAAAGAAAAAAGGACCAAAATTTAACATCTCCATCCCAAAAAAAATGATTTCGGGTTAAGATTGCTATCAAGAATATTCCGATATTTAAATTCAATTAGGGTTCAGAAACAGATTCAAGAACTATCATACACCACATAAGTCCAGTCAAATCAGATGTAAACAGCTAAAATAACAGTGTCATTAAACCAATACGATCCGATTATACACTACCATATAACTAAAAAACAAGAACCTAAATCCCCAAATACAAAATACCCTCTTTTATCTTTTTTGTTGGAATTAAAAAGTCTACTTATCTTTAGTAGAAACTCCATACTTCTCTTGCATCCTAGCAATCTCCTCCTCTTTCTTCTTCTGATCAAATTTCTTGCTCATCTTCGCCTGCTGATAATACAAAACAATCAAATACCTATTCGCAACGTTAAAACCCGACAAGTGATCCACCGCCGTCTTGGCATCGTAGATATCTTCATACACTACGAAGGCCGTTCCTCTGGTATCCTTGTTCGTACCGATTCGGATTTGGCGAATCGCACCGTATTTGCCGAAAATATCGTACATCTCCTCGCTCGATATGTTGAACGGAAGGTTTCGGACGTAGAGGACTCGGTTCACCTCCGGCGGTAGCCGGGTATTGCCTTTGCGTAGACTGATTGTGGCCATCAGTAATTTTAAGGAATAATCAACGGCGTTTGGTTGCTGAGAAAGTGAAGGAAAGATAGTTACAGAGAAGACGGGCGCGGCCGATCTGATTTATTAATGAGAACGTGAACAGCGAACTGGAGTTTTAAATTTGGGCATCTTTTGAGACGGTGTAAAATTTTTTTAAATTGTTTTGTAATATAATTCCTAATTAACGATACAAATATTATTTTGTTAAATTAAAAAATAGTAATATTTTGAAAATTGTATTTCAATTTCAAGATTGTAAGCAAGGAAAATAGCTCATTTTGCCCCCAAGTTTAGCTCGCATATTCAATTTATCATATTTCAATTTTTATAGCCAATTTGCTTCATTAGTTTGTCAAAATTAGCTATAATTTGACCTAAAGCTCTTACATGCTTCACACGCGGTCGAAACAAGAAGAAAGAAATTATAAATTAACTACTAAAATTTTTTATTAATATCAATAGTTAAAATAATTTCAACCCTTAAATTGCCAAATACATAAATAAATCCTCCATCCAATTGCAAATTTCAAATTGAAGAGAAAATACGACTAGGAAGCAAGAAAAAATATACTCTATTTTTCGATTATCATCCTGTCATCTCATACAGTTAGATTATTCATACGAAGAGATGGTTCGTTATTGTGAATGTAGTTTGATCGCTCCGTGTTGAATATTTTAGAGTGAGAAGAACAAAGTAGAAGGTTATACTCTTATAGATTCATTAATGTTAAATTAATTTATGACTTTTATTTTGGACTAAATTGAAATTGAAAATCTCTCCATATATGTTCTGTTCTAATATGTTGTATTAAAGTCCACTTTACCACCTGAATTTAAGAGCAATATTCAATTTGCTCCGAAATCAATTTTTTGTATAATTTAACTAATAAAAATTATTTAAGAAGTTTAAAATTAGGGAAAAAATTTATTTAAAACACAAAAATAAAATGTATCCTTGATTTAAAATATAATTAAATAAAATATTTGATTTTAAAAAATTATAGATTTAGAAAAAATATTTAATTATATGAATATTTAGTTTAAAAAATATTTATTATTATTTTTGATTATTTATTAATTGTATTTGATCTAAATCATATATTTATTATTTTTTAATTTTATTTTGATTTGAATTAAAATTCTTAAATGGACTTTATGTTCTTTTGTGCAAGTTCAAAAAGCAAATTGTACAAAAAGTTGATTTTTGAATAAATTGAATATTATTCTCAAGTTCAGGAAACAAATTAAGCTTCATTTATTTTTATTTATTATAATTGGTACAGCAAATGGCAGGATATTGTAAAAACCTTATTGACCGTCTTTAAAAAAATTTTATGAGTGCATCCCAAATTATTAAGAGTTGGTAAAAAATAATATTGGAATAAAATGAATCTCAATGACTTTTTTGTTGTTGCACGATAATTAAATAGAAGGAATTAAAAAAAAAAAATGAAAGAAACAAATCAATGGCAACATGATGATACAACAGCTTTTTTTTGGCTGACGAGTGCTTTTCCCAACAACCAATAATGAGCTAATTATTTGATTAAGAAAAAGCAAAATCAAGGACTTACATAAAGAACTTCATTATATTTATAGAAATGGATATGAAACCAAAGCCAGAATTGAGCTTCAACAGAAATACAAAATAACCTTTTTCACCTCCCACATTACAAACATATACTCATTTACTAGGAAGATTCACTTTTTCAACTCTATCCAAACACTACCTCATACATTGAAAAAATTCATCACCCATGTTCCACAAAAAAGCAGAAGCTATATATTAAGGTATAACATTTGCTGTAAATGCCAATAGAAAAGGTCACCTCATAGCTCATTGCATTTCACCCATCCCTTCCTCTTCATCCTCATATTCAAGCTCCTCCTCAGCTGTAGCATCCTGGTATTGCTGATATTCAGACACAAGATCATTCATGTTGCTTTCGGCCTCGGTAAACTCCATTTCATCCATCCCTTCACCGGTATACCAATGCAAGAAAGCCTTTCTCCTAAACATGGCTGTGAATTGCTCGCTGACACGCCTGAACATTTCCTGGATTGAAGTTGAGTTACCGATGAAAGTTGATGCCATAGAAAGTCCTCTAGGAGGGATATCACAGACACTAGACTTGACATTGTTAGGGATCCATTCAACGAAGTATGAGGAGTTCTTGTTCTGGACATTGATCATTTGTTCGTCGACTTCCTTTGTGCTCATCTTACCCCTGAACATGGCTGAGGCAGTCAAGTAGCGCCCGTGGCGTGGGTCTGCAGCACACATCATGTTCTTGGCATCCCACATTTGCTGGGTCAGTTCTGGGACAGTTAGCGCACGGTATTGTTGAGAACCACGTGATGTTAAAGGAGCAAATCCAACCATAAAGAAGTGCAATCGGGGGAAGGGGATAAGATTCACTGCAAGCTTCCTGAGATCAGAGTTAAGCTGACCAGGGAACCTCAGGCAGCAAGTGACTCCACTCATAGTTGCAGAGATCAGGTGGTTCAGATCACCAACTGCCACAAAATCAAGAAGCCCAAGTTAATCCAGTGCTCCTAAACTAATAGGAAAAAAAAGACATGCAAATATGAAGAAAAAATTATACCAATTACAAAACAGGGGCATCCCTCAACAATGAATTGCCAAAATAATAACTAGTCACTAGGTAGAAATTTCTGGAAAATTTATTGTAATAAAATGAGTTGCATATCTAATATTAGCAAGAGCAAAATAGTAAGTCATATTCAGATTGCCATTTAACACGAAAACAAATATCATTTGGTAGAAATCCTAAACAATTTTTTTACATGTGATTATCATAACAGTGCCCTGTCATCTCACTCAGCAATAATAGACAAAGTATGGCAGCAAGCTGCTAGATAGAAAATCAGGAACGCAGAATGCCTTGCTAATATAAAATACACATGAGAAACATAATTAGCTGTTGGTATGGACCCACATGGTATTTTAAGTTATCCTAGATTATAGTGATGCTAACAGTTCAGCGTCTCTGCAGCTAACATACAAATATCATTAATGAATAGTTGAAGCAAACAATAAATGAGAAGTAACACCAAGTACAAATAGATGCAACAGTAACTAATTCCTTGACATTGTGGCAAATGCAACCACCAAGCAACCAACGTATGAAAGAAACACTTAATATTCTGAAGCTTTTCTGCATTCAGTGATATAAGATAGCTCTCACAATACTCTACAAAACTAAAATCCCAATACTGTATTAGTTGTGATAAACTACACAGATCCATTTCGAATATGCAGATAAAAATTGCAACATGGAAAAACCTTAAATAAATTATACAACTTGGATGGAACATAGGGCTTAAATGAACTTACAGCTGGGAGTAGTTAACTTGAGAGTCCTGAAACAAATGTCATACAAGGCCTCATTGTCAAGTACCATACACTCATCAGCGTTCTCAACTAGTTGATGTACAGAAAGGGTGGCATTATAGGGCTCAACCACAGTGTCTGAAACCTTGGGTGAAGGGAACACAGAGAATGTGAGCATCATTCTGTCAGGGTATTCCTCCCTGATCTTAGAAATCAACAGAGTTCCCATTCCAGAACCAGTTCCACCACCGAGAGAGTGACAAACTTGGAAACCTATGCAATAGAAAGAACATATATTAAGCAATAAAATATAAATCAAATGCCCAAACAAATAATTCATCTGATTTTTCAGGTGTCTTTCATCTAGATTCAGTAATTACAGGACAACTTCATCATATACAAGGACGGAAATAATTCTTAAATTTAGTTCATGATTAAAATTAATTCTAGACAGACAAGTAAACAACTTATCTTATCTACCACATAGAGTAAAAGATTATGATTTATGAAGGCCAAAAGGAAGCAAAACTCTTGTATACCTTGAAGACAGTCACAGTTCTCAGCCTCCTTCCGCACAACATCCAAAACCGCATCAATCAGCTCAGCTCCCTCAGTATAATGCCCCTTGGCCCAGTTATTTCCAGCACCAGATTGCCCAAACACAAAGTTATCAGGCCTAAAGATCTGACCATATGGACCAGTCCTCACACTGTCCATGGTACCAGGCTCAAGATCCATGAGCACAGCACGAGGGACAAATCGCCCACAGGAGGCCTCATTGTAGTACACATTAACGCGCTCCAGCTGCAGATCAGAGGATCCAGTGTATCGTCCAGTGGGGTCAATGCCATGCTCGTCGCAAACGACCTCCCAAAATTTAGATCCAATCTGATTTCCACACTGTCCACCTTGAACGTGAAGGATTTCTCTCATTTTCGTTTTTCTGCATATAAAAACAATACGAAATAACGTCAGAACCATAATCCTCTATTCAAATTGCTTGGATTGAAGCAAAAAAACCATAAAATAAAGCAAAATTTAGTAAATGTAGACAAAACTTTAGAAACAGTAGAAACGGAACTGCAGAAGTCTAATAATTTGAAAACAAATAACGGAACAGAGGAAATCTAATTATGAGAACAAAAGAACATCAAGTTCAATGAAACGGAACAAGAATTCAGTGAAAATTTAGGAGTGTTTGATATAAAAAAGCGTGGATCGGAAAATTGGATAGAAACTAAAACAAATTTAATTTCCGAGAAAATGGAAGGGAAATGATTGTCCAAACAGAAGAAGAAATTCACTTCTGAAAGCTTCAAGAAGAGGACAAACAAACAAACAAGTACAGCAGCAGATCTAGACTGTTCGGCTGCCGACAAATTCAGTAAAGGAAAATGAAACTTCAAGTAGTCAAGCAGAAACAACCACTAAACAAACTGTAAATAGAAACTCAAAACTTAAGATTTCATTTCTTTTCTCTTCGTTTCCTCTGTTTAGTCAGCATCCATGCATAACCCAAAACGAGAAAAATAAATATTAGCTCTAACAATACGAAACTCACCGTCAAGTAATTCGCAGCCGGGGATGGAAATGCGAGTTTTTCCGGTGATCGGGCCCGAGCTAGGCTCGATCGAAGAAGAGATGGAGAGTATTTTTGTGTCTGTATGGGGTGCTACGCAGATATTTTGGCAAGAAATGTGCGGTTATATAACGAAAACGCAGGGCAAGGCTGTAAGATCGGACGGCCAAATTTATTTCCCTCCTTTTTTATTTTCGTCCGTCGGATGACGTTGGATGGAGAAGTTTGAACGGTAATGGTGCTGGGTTGATGTGACTGGGAAATGATTATTTATTTTTGAAAATTTTAGATTTGATGACGGTAATGACCTTTATATGATTTTACTTGATTACCCTTTCTTTCTTATTCATTGCAGAGACGGCCCAAATTCTTGGCTCCACGTGGACTGTATAGGAACAGGAAAAATAAAAAATCCAACTACTCGGAGTGCATGAGAGAGTGGACCACAGAGTGGGACCCACTCCGCCAATTTTTGTCTGTTTTGTGGGCACCGTAATTCTCTCGTTCCGGACGCTTCCAAGTTCCAACAATAGTAATTGCGCTCCAATTTAGTATTAATAAAAAAAATTTAATGATTTATAAAGATTTTCTTTTTTTTTTTTAGAAAATTATATTTTGTTTACTCTTATTGCTCATATAATTTGTTTTTATCAATAAAAATTATACTCTTCAAACCCGACAAGGTGCCAATTGAGGTGGTAAGCGACCTTAACCTCCGCAAAAATAAGAATATAAATTTAATTCCAGAAAACGCACTTTGCTGCGGTAAAAAATTTTTACGCTCTATGACCAAAGGGATTATAACTCCGGTTATACCAAAAAAAAATTATCCTTTTCATCTAAAAAATTTTGAGGATGGATTAGGGCATTCTGGTTGTTAGTTTCAATTTGATTAAGAAACTAATTAAGGTATTATGTCACTTACATATATCAAGTGTAATGATTAAAAATATTAATTAAGAGTAATTGTTGGACTTAGAAGAATAAAAGAGAGAGATTAGTTTGGTGCATCTGCCTTGAATTAGAAAAAAAAAAAAAAAAGAACATAAAATGTTAGGAAGGACATTTGCTGGGAGGGCCACATGAGAAAGTGATGTGCCCATGTGACCTGTCAACTACTTTCATCTCATTCCAATTCACATCTCACACTCACTTCACTTCTATACCAAAAATTAATTAGGGTACTGGGTACCTTCCAAGTAATTTTGACTATGACAGTATTTATTTTTTTTAGAGCAGCAAAATTTTCAAATTACTGTGCTTTATTTCGGAAAAATATTTTATCTTTAAAAAATATTTTTTAAATAATTTATTTTTTATTATTTAGTTGTAACATTGAAAATTAATTCCAAAATAATAAAATATTTATTTCATAAGACCATAAAAATATTTAGAATAATAGAAATTTATAATCTAAAAATTTTACTGTTAAATATGAGAAAAATGTAAAAGAAAAAAATAAATTATGAAATTCATCGCTAACCGGTACTGGTGGTCGATAGTAGTGGTTGGTGTCAATGGTGGCAGGTGGTACTGACTATCGATGGTTAATAAATTAAAAAATATGTGTTTATCAAATTATAATAAGTTTGTCAATGTCTGAAAAATATTTTCCTTACTTAAAAATGAAGAGTTATTTTTCTTAAAAATAACTTAATTTTCCTTTGACCAAGAAAATTTCCTGTTGGCTTATTTTTCTAAACATCCCAAATGATAAAAAATAGTATAAAATATTTTCCTACATATTATTTTATAAAAATAAACAAAGTCTAAAATTCCTACATAAAATCCATTAATTAGCTATAAAATTGCTCTTCATCAATTTTATGAAGGAAGAGTGAATTATTATTATTATTATTATTATTATTATTATTATTTAGCTCATCAGTTGTAATCAAATATATTAATATATATGATAGGCTACACATTCTTTTCTTAATTCACAAAGTATCAAAAACCTCTTTGGCCACACTCTTCATATTTGTGAGAAAATCAATCAGAACATATCTAATTAGCTAAAAATTTATACAATTACAAGTTATAAATATAATTTATAAATAAATAAAATAAAATAAGAGAAATGTGGAAGAACTTATTATGTTTTGCTTAGATTTTGAGTCTTGAAATGAGTAACATGGTTTGGTCCTAGAGATAATTGTGATAGTCCATCTAAACAGGGACAATTCATAAGTGACAAGTTACTCTCTTACCTAATTAAGATTCTGCTTTTTAAGGATAGGTAGGATAAATAAATTAACCAAGAAGCAAAATAGAACTAAGGACCCAGGAGTTTTGTGTGGTAATGTGGTGAATTGGGAAACACCTCTGTTGGCTCAAAATTATTAAATTAGGCAGATAGAATGTTAAATTTTATGGATTAAAAAATAACAATTTATGAAATTTCTCATTTTAATGTTTAATTTTAAAAAATAAAATTTATAGATTTGTAAATAAAATTATTAATGAAAAAAAGAATCCAATTGAAAAATCTCACATCTAAAGTAATTATTTATTTATTTTTCAAAAAGGATGGAATTGAGGTCATGATAAATTCATTAATTTCATAGATTGTAGTCAAATTTTTCTTAACCAAATAATCTGATAAATTTATGAAATATTTAATATTTTATCATTTAAATTTTATTGCTCTAAATAACTATTAAAATAATTTTTATTTTCGTTTATTAAAAGATTAACAAAGTTTATTAGCTCATAATAAGTTTTATATTTAATGTATATGTGTAATTATTTGTAATACCGAAATCATATTTCTGAAAAAAGAAAAAGATTAGCCTTATTTGTGAATATTTTTATGTATATAAATATTCAATTATTGTTTATATTAAATTATTTTCTCAAACAATAATTGAATATCAAAACTATATATATAGTCTGTATGAAATAATCCACAAGTACATCCTTTTTTAGATGGTCAAGCAAGCCATAATAGTTGTGGGGTAAATTACTAAAAACATAGTTTTCTGTTCCCAAATCTGCAAGCAATTATTTATTTTTGGGACAAAGTTGTTCACATGATGAGCTCTCTCTCTCTCTCTCTCTCTTTCTAATACAAGATTCAAAGGCTTAGCTGTCTTGACCATTTTCTTTCACATGATATTTGAATTTTTTTTCCACTGGATAAGGGCATAATGCTTCAAACTCTAAAATTATCTCTCCCACCACTTTTTATATCTACACAAGAATCAAAAGATGTAATTGCTCTTTTTTTTATATGGTATTAATGGAGGTGGTATGTGATTTCAATCCTTTACAAGGGTTATAATATAAATTCAATTTTAGAAGGTACACTTTATTGAGAGATTTAAAAACTTTATGTTTTTATGACCTGAGGAGATTAGTTAATTATACTTCGTGATTATCCTAAAAAAAAGTTACTAATTCTTCCTCTATATCATAATAAGAAAACTTCTCTATTTTTTCATAATCCTTTCTGTCTGCTAAAGAAATCCATTATTGAATTTTAGGCTTTGTTCAGAGTGTGTGTTTAGAGTAGTATTTAGTGTTTTGAGTAGTATTTAGTGTTTTGATTGGATTAAAATACTGTTTTAATTAATTATCGTATTCAGTAATCCCATATTTATTATAATGTTTAAAATTTGAGGTAGTGTTTTATGAAACATTATCCTCGTTAACGTTTAGCGTTTTATAAATTTTTTATAACGTTTATGCCCATCACTTGTTTTTGCCTTGTTCTTTATGACATTATCCTTTTTGTTATTTTATATTAAACAACTAATCAAATACTTATTTTTACCGAACATTTTGATTTTAAACCATTATATAAATAATTAACCACTAATAACTAATATCTAACCGTTAACAACTAATAAAACAGCTGACAGCTATTACAACAGTTAACACTTACTATAATCGCTAAAATTACCAAGTAGAGTATTAATTTACATATTTATTTCCTATATAAAATAGCAAGATGTTCATCTTTTTATTGATCATATCATATCATGTGAATTTAGGAATTCAGTGGAATGTTTAGATTATTTTCCTAAAGGATTTGTTTAAGGAAATTTGGACATTCATTGATTAAAAAGAAAAATAATTTCTCAATGTCTAATCAATAAAATTCAGAGTAATTCAGTTCACTCGTCAGATGATTTAATCTTCGGAGTAATCTTTTATTTACTTATTATTGTAGTTAATTTTTAATCATCTATTAATATCTAATTTTAGAATTTTAATTATTCCTATTAAAAATTCTTAGAATCTTGAAATTCATGAAATTCATAGAAACATTATTCTATGTTTGTCTTAAATAGTTGACAACATAACATATTTATTTATATTCTCTTAATAGTTGTTCTTTTTTGCCATTCCTCTCTCAAATACACGAAGCTAAACGTTCTTACTACTCTTTCTATCTCAAAATATAAGTTGTTTTAAAGCGATATTTGTCATAAAATATAAGTCGTTTTGAATATTTCAAAGAGTAATAAATAACGTGTTTTCAATGTTCCCTTATTTTCATTAGATACAATAAATACTTTCACCAAATGACTATTGATTTTATTATAATTTAGGAGAATTAATTATTTTCTTAATCCTTATATAAAAACCATACATGACTTATATTTTGAAACAGAGAAAATACTATAATATTAATTAATCATTGACCACTTCATCATTTTCTTGTAATCATATTATTGTCTCTTCCATTTACAAGCTCTTTAACCATAATGGCACTTTAATTGAAGTTCTTAGCAAGTTAGTTTGCAGATTGAAAGATCAACTAACTAATTTTTGTTCCAAAGGTCATACCTTTTCTTTTTGTGCAAGAAATTGTAATGGAAAAGAACAAGATTTAAGTGTACTTTTATGTTGTGGGTAGACCTTTTTTTCATAATTTATTTTTGTAATAATTATTTTATTCATTAAATGTCAAATAGGGTAAGAATTTTCTGAACCTGCATATGAAATTCGAAATCGGAATTCTTATATTTAGGTGGGTGCAATAACCATTAAATTATTTTTAATTTGGGATAACATTATTTTCTGTGAGATCTATTTTAGAGTTATTTTTAATTGAATATAGATTCATATAAATTAAAATTAGAGTGTTTAACATAGGGAAAATACAGGGACGGATTAGTTGTATTTTTCAAATCATAGGGATTATATTCTAAT